ACCCAAACGGAGAAATCTGTCGACCACCACCTGGCGGTCTTGGGTGCCCTGGCTGTGTGGACAACAACTACAAGCAATCACCAAAGCACAGTAGGGATCCGAAGATGTGTCGGTGGTATGATGTTGAACCGTATTACTGGGACTGTCCAAGCTGTAAGAAGGAATATCAGAAGAGCAATCCTCACCACACCAAGATATCTGGCCAATGCAGATTTGCCGAAAAATGGAAACTGCCAGATAACTTTGGCCAGCCGCGTCCGGCGGGACAAGCCGCTCCTGCGGCGCCAGCCGCGGAAGCGGCTCCAGCCGCAGAAGCGGCGCCAGCCGCAAAAGCGGCGCCGGCCGCGAGAGCGCGCATACGTGCGCCTAGGCCGCCACGGCCTGGTGAGGGCGATCCAACCGCAGGCGCCAGCAGCCATGACATCACCAGAGCCGACGGGGCTAATGGTGGCAACAGTGGCGCTGGCAGCTCTGACGATCACCGTAGACTGCCACAAGTTGCAGCAAGGCGCGGACGCATGGAGGGAGGAGATCCTCCACCACCGCCGCAGCCTCAAGCAGAGCCGAGGCCAAGGCCAAGGCTCCCTGATTGGACTCGCTTCGACGTTCAGCTCAGCCTCCAAAACCTGCGCAGCTTCGACCCAGCTGTAGTGCAGCGAGAACTCCGCAAACTCCACCTGAGATGGTTTCATGCCAAGGAGCCAAAAATGCGGATGATTCTAACCAAGGTTGGTCTGGGTGAAACCCGTTTGAGTCTGATCAAAGGCATTTGTGACTCGTGTAGAGAATGTCGAGCCTGGGATAAACCAGGCAACACGGTGATGCCTTCCGTGTCACTGCCAGGACGTTTCAACGAAGAAGTCGAATGTGATCTCTTCTTTTATAAACAGGAACATATTGTTTTTCACATCATCGACCGTTGTATTCGCTGGGCAGCTGGCACAGAGATTCCTGATAAAGCTATGCATACTGTTCTCGATGCCTATCATACGACTTGGATGCAGCATGGCCCTGCTAAAATTCTATACTCCGATGGGGAAGGAGCACTGAATAATGATACAGCAAAGGCCATCCTTAAGGCTAAGGGAACAGAGCTTCGTATTCGAGCGCGTGGCCAACACGCTACAACTATCGAAGCTAGGAACGGCATCCTGCGACACCTCCTACACGTGATGGGAGAAGAATTGAATAGATTAAATATCCCTCTCAATTTCACTCGTCTCTTACATGAAGCCTTGTTTGCCAGCAACGCATTTACCTTCTACAATGAAGTGTCTCCGTACAATGCGCTGTATGGCAGACAACCAGCTATGCTTCCTGATTTCCCTGTCTTGGATCATGATCAGCCCACTGAATCATCAGATCACTCAAGGGAGGAAACAATCAGGAGGGTTAGTCTGGAGGCAATCACGCAGGCCACTGCGGTTGCCAAGACGAACAGGGCTCTCCGTACAAAGACTACTGCTACGGGTGAATTTCACTATAAAGAGGGAGATCTCGTGGACTATCATCGCCCGACCACCACGAAAGACGACTGGGGTGGATGGAGCGGTCCATACCCGGTCATCCGCAACGAACCTGACCGAGGCCAGGTCATCGTGAAGGTCGGCAATCGCGAAGTACGAGTACAGTATCCTGACACACGACACACACTGTACATCGAAGCACTTATGGTCCGCGAGATAGGATCGGACAATACGGCCCTTCGAACAGTATTGGCCTTTATTGCCGGTCTGCCAGCGGGGAAACCCGCCATGACTTTCGGATATCTACCAACGAAACAGGGTCGGCTGCAGATGACTGCTGCGAGCCGACTTTCACCTAAGGTGCACTTGGCTCTTCAGTACCTCATACGCAACTACTTTCGTATTGAAAACGTTGTTGCTGTACGACTCGCCAAGAGCCTGACGAAGCTGCCTGCCGCACCCTATGCAGACAGCTGTACACTAGTGCACTATGATAACGATGTGACCCCTGGGTTTCATTACTATGAAGCTGATGGCACTGCCTTGAACATCTATGACATCACAGGATCTACACACTCACGCATCATCCAGTGTCTTAAATCCAGGAAGCCGTCTGCTGGGTTTGACCAAGATCTCACTAAGTTTGAGGAACTCGCTGATGGTCCACCACCAAGCGAATCACCTCCAGCAGCTGCTCCTGAGGAGCCTCCTACGGACAACGATGGTCGGCTCCCGACCATCATAGAGGAGACAGAAGAAGATCTGGATGCTTTTGTCTTGAAGTCGTGGTATGCTGAACTGATGGATGACAGAACACTCCTTGAAGCTGACACAGAGGAAGTCATGCATACAGTTCCTACATACATGACAGACACACAGTGTGTGTTAGTCTCTACGACCTGTGAAGATGTGCAAGGCCACTTGCCGGAGCGGGGTCACCCGCCAGGATACGACATGGACACTTCTTACTACGTTCCTTTATGCTCCACGGATCCGGATAGCAAATATGATCTGGACTCCGATGAGCACGGGAAGTATATCGAGCTCTGCTTCACTGCAGACATGTCCAAAGTCGTCCTGTCCGAGCAGCAACACCGACTGTTGGATGACAGCAGCGTCACAACTATGCGAGTATACGTTAGCGCTGCCTCCAAACGTGCCGTGGTCGTCAAGGAAGACGATCTACTCACGAAGGCCGACATCCAAGCAAATCCGGTCAAAGTTTCCAAAGCCCTCTACACAGAGCTGAAGACTTGGCTTGACAACAAATGCTTCCAGATGACTGACTTAAGCAAGGCGTCTAACATCATGACGTCACGCTACGTATACAAATGGAAGTTTGTCAAGAACGAAAAGGGCGAAATGGAAAGGACGATCCGGTTACGCTTGGTACTCCGTGGCTTCATGGACCTCGAAGCCTTTGATGTCGAAACCTTCTCCGGCACGGCAAGGAGGTCAAGCCAGAGACTGCTCGCAAGTTCTGCTGCATGCAACAAAGCTTGGATCATCGCTTCCCTGGACATCAACATGGCTTTCTTGAAGGGACTGACCTATGGCGAGCTCGCCGCGGCAACGGGCGAGAAAGAACGTGTGGTGTGTTTCACACTACCACCTGGGTCAGCAGCTGTCCTTCGCACACTGCCAGGCTTTGAGTCATATGACGAATCAAAGCATTGTCTCCGGTGTCTGAAACCGGGGACAGGCACGAAGGATGCTCCCAGGGCGTTCTCGCTGAAGCTCAGGTCCATCACTAGGAGCTTTGGGCTACAGCCTACTTCATACGACGAAGAATTCGAGATGAGCCCAAACCTCTTGACAGCCAAGCACGTTGATGACATCAATATGACTGGGAAGGAAGAGGCTATCGACAAGTATGTCAAGTGTGTTGAAGATACGTTTGGGAAGTGCAAACTGAACAAGCACACATACACGAACTGTGCTGTTCGGTACAACAAGACCGATGATGGGAGCGTCACTCTCGATCAGGACGAATACATCAAACAGCTTCGTCCTATCACACATCCAGAACTCACAGGAGCTGATCCTGAAAGCAAGGCGACGAAGACAATTTCTGATATGTTCGTCAGTCTTCGTGGCGCTCTAGCCTATGCGTTGATCACGCAGGTATGGCTAATGGTCTATGTTGTCTCACTACAACGTATCCAAGAACCGACAAACATCCAGGTACGACGACTAAACGCGGTTACCAGAAAATTGCAGGCAGGTCCGAAGAAGATCGTGTATCATGCTATGACTCCAACAGGAGAAGTCGACCTGCATAGCGATTCTGGCTATCGTCGTCTCAACGGAGATGAAGACGACGAAGTCAAAGGCTATGGTATCCGCGGGGCTAACCTGCTGAGGCGTGGCCACACGCAAGCGGGGAAACCCGTCGTGCACCTGGTGGACGCATACTGCAAGTCTCATCGACTGCAGGTGCGTTCGAGCTACTCTGCGGAAACACTGGCAGCAGCCCACAACTTGGAAGACTGCTACCCGACCATTGTAACGCTCCACGAGCTACACTCGGGACCATTGACCCCCACACAGTTGAAGAACATATTGGAAATGGGTGGTCTATGTATCAAAGTCACTCTGACTATTGATGCCGAGTCTGTCTTCAAATCTTTGTCTAGCAAGGATCTGAAGAAGCCCACAGAGTGCACTCTGCTTGGGCACATCAGCTGGATTCGCCAGATGATGGAACGTGGAATCGTGGAAAGCGTCCAATGGTGTGACACGCGGGATATGACTGCCGATGGTCATACCAAAGGTAGCATTGACCGCGCGTTGCTCCTACAAGTAATGGCCGGCCAGCAATCCTTCAAGCACGAGCTGAAGAAACATACACCGTATAGGGCGAGCAGGTCGTCTCAGGACGGCCCTGCCTCCCGAGCCAGCGGGGAAACCCGCGGGCAGGTGCGTTTTAGCAGCGAGGAAACTCGCCGGTAGCGAGGCTACTCGCGCGCCCCCTTCCTTGTAGGCAGCCGCTGCTGCTTAGCACTGTTTTTCCGCATAATAGAAGTGCGGTACCTGCTCGTCTCCTCCCCCTCCGACTTTAAACGGAGAAGGTTAAAGGCGAGATATAAATCGAGCATGTACCGCTGCCGTGCCTGGCTCAAGCCGGGCCCGGCATGATATGTGACTGTGCCTCACTGAGGCGCACTACTTGCATCTGAGATCGGAAAACATCCTTTCCATTGACGATGCCCATCTTACTCTTTACTCCAGATCCCATGCTTCGTCTCGCTCTCTTGCTCATGCGCTATGAGCCTAAGCCTGGGATATGGGAGCGCCTAAGGCGGACTGTATACCAAAGCTTACCAGCTTGTTTTCGACTATGAAAAGGAGGAGAAGGAGGAGGAGGAGGAGGAGGAGGAGGAGGAGGAAAAGGAAACGGAAAAGGAAACGGAAAAGGAAACGGAAAAGGAGAAAAAGGAGGAGGAGGAGGAGGAGGGTGACCAGCGCCGATCCAAACAAACCCGGGGGGGCCTCGGACAATTCTTGTGCGTGTTATGTTTCCGTCCTCTGGAGGCGCTCTCGTCCGACGGCCGCGGCAGCGCCGCTGCCGAGACGCCCGCGGACCTGTGGCCCCGGACGGTGGGGGGGTCGCCAAGATCAGGGCAACGATTGGGGGGGACCTGCTCGTACAGTGAAGGCCCATGCCGAGAAACACCCTGCTTGCCTACAGGGTGCCCTGGGTTTCTTGGGTTTCGACGGTTTTGCAATGGAAAGCGTGACGTTCCCACACCGCAAAAATCAATCGGACGTCCTGGGGTCGCAGGGTTGGGCTTCTTGTGGAAGGTTTCTTGTGGATTGGCCTTCGCTTTATGTGGGGGGGGCGAATGACGGACCAATCGCAGGGGGGGGGCAATGACGGACCAATCGCAACACGTTGGCACCAACGACCAGTTCGTCTTCGTCCTGAGTCGTTCTCATCTAGCACCGCCGCCCGCGAGGGGCCCACCAGGACGCCGAAAAAAAATCCGGGTCGTTAAATCCGGGTCGTTTTCATCTAATAAGTACCGCGGCCCTCGGGGGGCCCGGGAAGCCAAAAACACTTCAGGACTTGGGTCAGGAGGGAAAAAAACGTACAGACACAAGTCATCGACGATCCGCAGGAAAATATAGGAAAATATGGGAAATGGGGGGAAGACGAAAACCTGGAGATTTAGAAAAAGATGGGGAATCCTGAGAGTTGTGTCTGTTTATTTGTGTGTCCCTGCGCCCCTTGGCTGTTTCCCTCAGGACCCCTTCTCGTAATGCCGACCTCCCGTCCGACCCGAACGGGTGCCGGCTGGGGCGAGTGCGGGCGGCATCGGGGGTAGGTGGTCGGGCGTCATCGGGGGGTCAGGCAGGTGTCAAGGGGAGGAGGGTCGCCACCTCGTCGAGGAGGACGACCTCCTGGGGATCCCCCAAGGCCACCCAGAGCCTCCCCAAAGCCAAGTCGCCCCAAGATCCCTAAAACTCGCCCCAAGGTCTCAAGCCCCTGAAAGTCGGCCCACTACCCATCAAGCCCCAAGATTCCTCAACGTTGTGCCACGGCCCCCCAGAGCTTCTCCAAACCCTCGAAGTCGTCCCAAGACCTGCTCGGCCCCTGACGCCCGGATTCCGATCCCTAGACATCCAGTGCCCGGAGGAGGACGAGGAGGGGAGGAGGGGAGGATGAAGAGGATGAAGAGGATGAAGAGGATGAAGAGGATGAAGAGGATGAAGAGGATGAAGAGGATGAAGAGGATGAAGAGGATGAAGAGGATGAAGAGGATGAAGAGGATAAAGAGGATGAAGAGGATGAAGAGGATGAAGAGGATGAAGAGGATGAAGAGGATGAAGAGGATGAAGAGGATGATGATGATGATGATGATGATGATGATGATGCTGATGATGATGTGATGCTGATGCTGATGATGATGAGATGATGATGATGATGATGATGATGATGATAGATGATGATGATGATAGATGATGTGATGATGTGATGATGATATGATGATGATGATGATGATGATGATGATGATGATGGATGAGGATGATGATGATGATGATGATGATGACGATGAGGTATGTGGATGAGGCTGAGGCTGAGGCTGAGCTGAGCTGAGGATGAGGAGGAAGGAGGAGGAGGAGGGGAGGAGGAGCGAGGATGTTGATGATGATGAATGATTGATGATGATGATGATGATGATGATGATGATGATGATGAGGAGGTGGAGAGGGAGGAGGAGGAGGAGGGGGGAGGAGGAGGAGGAGGAGGAGGAGGAGGAGGAGGAGGGGAGGAGGAGGAGGAGGTGGAGGAGGAGGGGGAGGAGGAGGAGGAGGGAGGAGGAGGGGAGGAGGAGGAGGAGGAGGAGGAGGAGGAGGAGGAGGAGGAGCGGAGGAGCGAGGAGCGAGGTGCGAGGAGCGAGGTTGCGAGGAGCGAGGTTGCGAGGGAGCGGGAGCAGTGGAGGAAGCGAGGAGGGAGGAGCGAGGGCGAGGAGCGAGGAGCGAGGAGCGAGGAGCGAGGATGAGGAGGAAGGAGGAGGAGGAGGAGGAGGAGGAGGAGGAGGAGGAGGAGGAGGAGGAGGACGCGGGGTCCCCCGTGGTCTGCCCCCATTTCCCAGGGGCCAGCTCCTCGTCCTGAGCTGCTCTCCGACGGCCCCATAGGGGCTCGGCGAGGGCCCCCAGAGGCTGCAAGCTGTGGAGACCTCCGCCACCGAGCGTCTCGAGACGTTGGAGGTCCCTTTGATGGGCAACTTTCCGCCACCACTGCCATATGTAGGAGGGGGGAGAAGGGAGAATGAGGAGGTCCTCCTCCTCCTCCTCCTCCTCCTCCTCCTCCTCCTCCTCCTCCTCCTCCTCCCTCTCCTACCTTGGTAGTGGTGATTGGAACATGGGCCCCACCCTTGAGAGCCGACGTTGCGAAAAAAATCAGTGTCGCGAAGCATCACGACCCGAGCCCTGGACCCGATCTTTTTGCGTTCTTTTTCGAGACGGATGGATATGCGAGGGCCCCGGGGCCCGAAACCGGGCGAGAACGCCCGGAGTGAAAACATTGCAACGCCCAGATCTCAGGGTCTAGCGAGGGCAGTAGTTGTGTATCCTTTGGGCTCTAACCCGCGTTATGCTTCCCGGCCCCCCCTCCTTCCCCCCCCATCACGTCACGCCATCCCCCACCCCTCCAGTGCGTCCACAGCACGGCCGCAGCGACTCCGACCGGCAGCACCCCTTCCTCGCCCTCCGCCCCCCCCCCCCCCCCGCAACGCCAGTCATCGCCGCGAATAAAAAAAATGCCCTCGAGGACGCCCGACTACTGGGGCAGCCCGCTGACCACCTACCAGCCAGTGCCACCCGCGCGCGTCCCCACGCCCCGCGGCGGCGCCAGCCCGGCCACACACCGGCAGGCTGTGCGGCCGCCGACGCCGAGGGGCGCGACCCGCCCGCCCTCGGGAAGAGGGGACGAGGAGGAGGAGGTGGAGAGGAGGGGAGGAGGGGTGGAGGAGGAGGAGGAAGAAGAGGAGGAGGAGGAGGGGGGAGAGGGGGGGGGGAGGGGGAGGCAGGGGAGGAGGGGAAGGAGGAGGAGGAGGAGGGGAGGAGGAGGAGGAGGAGGAGGAGGAGGAGGAGGAGGGTGAGGAGGAGGAGGAGGAGGAGGAGGAGGAGGAGAGGAGGAGGTGGAGGTGTAGGAGGGAAGAGGAGGAGGTGGAGGAGGAGGAGGAGGAGGAGGAAGGAGGAGGAGGAGGAGGAGGGTGAGGGAGGAGGAGGAGGAGGAGGTGGAAGAGCATGGGGGAGGTGGAGGGGAGGTGGTGGGGCAGAAGGAGTGGAGGACGAGTAGGTTTAAGTCGGGCCTGTCCCTCTAAGGGGGAGGAAAATACAAAAAGATAGTCTGGGACAGATTGTTTGACTATTTTTGCTTTGTTTGGGTATTTTTCATTTTTCGCCCAAATCTCCTGTAGGGGACTGGCCCGACTTAAGAGTAGGAGGAGGAGGAGGAGGAGGAGGAGGAGGAGGATGAGGAGAGAGAGGAGAGTAGGAGGAGAGGAGGAGGAGGAGGAGGAGGAGGAGAGGAGGAAGGAGGAGGAGGAGGGAGGGAGGGAGGAGGAGGAGGGGTAAGGATGAGGAGGAAGGAGGAGAGGAGGAGGAGGAGGAAAGGAGGAGGAGGAGGAGTGGTATCAGGCAGGAAGGAAGGAGGAGGTTCACGGTTTCTCTTCCCCCCTCTCTCTCTCTCTCCTCCCTTGCGTCTGCTGTCCTCCCACCTTGAATTTAGTTTTGCCCCCCGCCAGAGATTTCTGGAGCGATCGCTACACGAGTCACCCGGCTCTCAGTTTTCTCACCCCTCAGGGCCGACTGGCCTTGGGGGGATGGCAACGTTTGACGAACCGTCATGCCGTCAGTGCCTCAGCGCCTCAGGAGGAGGAGGAGGAGGAGGAGGAGGAGGAGGAGATGGGTGAGCGAGATGGGGAGGAGGAGGAGGAGGAGGAGGAGGAGGAGGAGTAGGTAGGAGGAGGAGGAGGAGGAGGCGGAGGCGGAGGAGGAGGGACGGGGGCGGAGGACGGGGAGGTGGAGGAGGAGGAGGGAGGAAGGCAGGAGGAGGAGGAGAAGGAGAGAGAAGAGGAGGGGGCGGAGGGGGAAGGGGGGAGGAGGAGGGATGGAGGAGTTGGAGGAGGAGGAGGAGGAGGAGGAGGAGGAGGAGGGGGAGGAGGTGGAGTGGAGGAGGAGGGGGAAGGAGGAGGAGGAGGAGGAAGGAGGAGGAGGAGGAGGAGGAGGAGGAGGAGGACGGGGAGGTGGAGGAGGAGGAGGAGGAGGAGGAGGAGAAGGAGGAGAGGGGGAGAGAGGGGGAGGGGGTAGGAGAGGAGGAGAAGGAGGAGGAGGAGGAGGAGGAGGAGGAGGAGGAGGACCAGTGACCAGTGTAAACCCGAGATGCAATAACGATGCTGCAATGGACTCGCCCTTCAAGTTCCTTCTCCTCGGGCTCCTGAAAAGGATTAATTCGAATTCCCGGAACTAGCCTATGAGAAGACAATTGTTTGAGAATCATCCATCGTGCCGGCACGCCGTATTGCGACTTCCACACCGCGTATCAACGTCATTACTGCTTTCAGGCATGTTTCTATCTCGCTAATGCACGACTCTTGCGACTACAACAGTCCTAAATCGATCTAGATCGCATCTGATCACAACTTCGGTCATAAGGATCCTTGAATGTATTGCAAACGTGTAAGGCAAATGCGTTCGGCGCTAAGGCAAGAGCCACATGCTGTAAAGGAGCCGCCCCCTCCACCCGTAAGGTGCTGCAAGATTTTACGAGGAATGGGCGCGGCGCTAAGGCGTGAGCCGCATTTTGAAAAGGAGCCGTCCTGCATCCGTGAACTTGGAATATTGTTTAACCGAAAGGTTGCGGCGCTGAGCGAGAGCCACGTCTTAAAAACCCGTCGCCCTCCATTCGTAAAAGTGCTGCGAACATTTAAAACCGAATGTGCGCGGCGCCATGTTAGGGCGAGAGCCAGATGTTGAAAACCACGCGCCCTCCACCCAGGAAGCTGCTCCAGACTTTGAGCCCGAATGTGCGCGGCGCGAAGGCGAGAGCCACATGTTGAAAACCATCCGCCTCCATCCGTGAAGCTGTTGCAAACTTCAAGCTTCAGAATGGCGAGGAAGTCTCAGGCGAAATTCCCGGCCCGCCTTACCAACACGTTTGGGGTTCGACAGGGAGTGGTTATCTATAATGAAAATGGATGGAGTGTAGGAGGAGAAGGAGGAGGAGGAGGAGGAAGGGGAGGAAGAAGAGGAGAAGGAGAAGGAGGAGGAGGAGGAAGAGGAAGGGGAGGAAGAGGAGGAGGAGGAGGAGAAGGGGGAGGAGGAGGAGGAGGAGGGGCAGGAGGAGGAGGAGGAGCCAGAGGAGGAGGACCAGTGTGAACCCAAGATGCATCAACGAAGTTGGGATACACCCTCCCTCCAAGCTCCCTTTTCAAAGGTCCGTACAAGGATTCATTTTTACTGAGGGACATGCCCCATTGTGGGACAATCGTGCCACAATCTTGAAGCGTGCCAAACACCATTCTCGGGACTTCAACGCCACAAACCTCCTCACTGTTGCGTGTTCACAATCCTGAGTCGCGCCAGGGCACCATTCCTGGGACTTCAACACCGCGAATGCTGTAATTGTTGTGCCCTGACAGTCGTGAACGATTCCAGAACACCAGTTCTGGTACGTTAGACCATAAGAACCTGCCTAATTCTTGTAACTGTCTGAAACGAATGTGCGCGGCGCGTATGCGAGAGCCACATGTTGAAAACCCTCAATCCGTGACGCTGTTGCAATTGTTGTTTACTGATTGTGCGCGGCGTTAAGGCGAGAGCCGCATTTTGAAAACAACCCGTCCTCAATCCGTGAAGCTCTTACAATTTGTGTTGAACGAATGTGCGCGGCGCTAGGGCGAGAGCCACATGTTGAAAACGACCCGCTCTCAATCCGTGAAGCGACTGCACAGTTTTAAGTCGAATGTGCACGGCGCTGAGGCGAGAGCCACATTTTGACAACGGCCCGTCCTCAATCCAGGAAATCGTTGCACATGATTGAAATAAATGCGCGCGGCGCACAGGCGAGATCTATATAGTGCAAAAGATCCGCTTTCAATCCGTAAGATCATCATTGCAGATGTTGAAGACGAATGTGCGCTGCGCTAAGGCGAGAGCCACATTTTGGAAGCGGCCCGCCCTCCATCTGTGAAGGTATTGCCAGTGTTTAAGCTTCAGGCGCGCATAAGTTGTAGTGAAATCCCAGGCGAACCCCCCGGCCCACCCTTCCGACTGGCCTCGGGGGTGCGACAGGAAGTGAGGGGGAGGAGGAGGAGGAGGAGGAGGAGGAGGAGGAGGAGGAGGAGGAGGAGGAGGAGCCAGAGCAGGAGGAGCAGGAGGATCTCTCCCCTCCTCTTCCCCCGCTTCCTGTGCAGAAAGGTGGCCGAGGAAGGAGCCAGTACAGCGGGGGTCATGGCGGGCCCCCCAGGTGGAAGCTCGCAGCAGATTTTGCAATCAGCGGGTGTAATATCTACTGCCTCGACGAGGGTCGTTATTTCTTGTGGCCATGTTGGCGTCCCGTGAGGGGTCGAGGAGAGCAGGAAATGCGTGATGTGTGTGTGTGTGTGTGTGTGTGTGTGTGTGTGTGTGTGTGTGTGTGTGTGTGTGTGTGTGTGTGTGTGTGTGTGTGTGTGTGTGTGTGTGTGTGTGTGTGTGTGTGTGTGTGTGTGTGTGTGTGTGTGTGTGTGTGTGTGTGTGTGTGTGTGTGTGTGTGTGTGTGTGTGTGTGTGTGTGTGTGTGTGTGTGTGTGTGTGTGTGTGTGTGTGTGTGTGTGTGTGTGTGTGTGTGCGTGTGCGTGTGCGTGTGCGTGTGCGTGCGTGCGTGCGTGCGTGCGTGCGTGCGTGTGTGTGCGTGCCTCAACGACAGCGTCGTAGCCATGAAGGCGTTGTTCAGTCGTTTTCTACGCGTCCCAGAAAAATGTCAGAGAGGAAATGCGTGATGGGGTGCGCCAGAACGAGCATTTGCAGCCCTGAGGAGGAGCAGGAGGGAGGAGGAAGGACAAGGATGAGGAGGAGAGGAGGTGGAGCAGACGGAGGAGGAGGAGGAGGAGGAAGAGCAGGGGGCGGAGAGTGGGAGGGCAAGGACAAGGAGGAGGAGGAGGAGGAGGAGGAGGAGTAAGACGAGGAGGAGGAGGAGGAGGAGGAGGAGGAGGAGGAGGAGGAGGAGGGACAGCAGCAGCGGCAGTAGTGGAGGAGGGGAAGGGAAATTGTCGGACAAGGGAAGGAGTGATAGGTGACGAGGGACGGACGAAGATGAGGAGGGGACGGGAGGTGAGGGGAGGGGAGGGGAGGAAAAGCAGTGGGGTGAGGACGAGGAGGAGGAGGATGAGGAGGACGAGGAGGAGGACGAGGTGAAGGAGGTGGAGAGGGGAGTGGAGAAGGGGGGGGGGGAAGGGATGATGATGCTGATGGTGAGGATGTGGAGGAGGATAAGGATGAAGAGGAGGACGAGGAGCAGGAGGAAGAGGACGAGGCTGAGGAGGAGCAGGAGTCCCAGATCTCCGACGGCGTGCTGCGTTCAGTCTCGGCGTGGTTCCTTGAGTTCGGCCTGTGGGGCCAGCCCTGGTCTCTGGCCCCGGGACCGCCAGACGTTGATCGGGGACGACAGCCTTGTTTCTGGGGCGGCAAAGAGGGGGGGGTGATGACTAGGGGGAGTGGATATCATGGCGTGGGCCATGATATTTCTCCAGGTTTCATGGCGCCTCTTCTTATTTCATTACGTCCCTGCCCCCCCCCTGGGCTGCGCACATGCCGCCGGTCATGATTTGCACCCCCCCTCTCGGACGCCCCCCTCCTGGCCGCCCCCGATTATCCTCAAGTCGGGCCTGTCCCTCTACAGGAGGAATATTCGAAAATTGTCGACAAATAGTATGGCGACGATCTTCGATTATTGTTGACGATTGTTGAGCATGTTTGGACTATCTTACACTGATTCCTCAAGATACGCCTGTAGGAGGACACGCCCGACTTGACCTTACCCCGAGAAAGGCGTCTAGAACCTCCTCTCTCCACTCCCGACACTCGTCCCGCCGCAAGCATGTGCGCTGAACATAAAACCTGCTTGTTCCTTCCATTCTGTTCCACAGGCAGATTCAGGGCGTTCACGCGATGCTGCGCATGTCGGCCTGCGTGTGTTGCGCCCTTGTCTGCTCTCTCGCCCACTTCAGGAGCAGTGCGGCGATGGCAATTCGGAGCCCCGAGGCGGCAATTGCCCCCGCGTCGAGAACAGCAGCGGTGACCGCAACAGTGACTGCGTCAAGCTGGGATCCAAGTGTTGGTGGTAGCATCACTCTGCAGGTGACACGCGGTACTGCCCAGTGCTGTTCAGCGTGGGATTGGGTCGGCATCTATCAGGACGGAGTTCGGGTGGCCTACGTGCACTCAGGAGACGGTGTAAATCCAGTGTTCTCCGCCACTTTTCCAATCCCGAGCACGGGCGGCATCTTCTATTTCTGGTTTTCAACCAGCGTCGACTCCTGGGCGATGCACGACCTTGGTATCTCGGAGACCTTCGGCGAGAGCGTCCCAATCGTCACCATGGCCTCGCTGATTCCCTCGTACTGGTGGCCGACAGACGGCAAGTGGGACGCTCTGATCCAGGCAGTCGACACATCCGGCATCCCGCCCTCACATGTGACGGTCGTGTTGAACGTGAACAACGGCTACAACACGGACCCCGCGGTGGTCACAGCATGGCACTGGGGCCTCTGGCTCAGCCGTGCGCAGAGCCTGTCCTCAGCTGGCATCAAGATCATTGCGTACGTGAACCTCTGCGCCGACGTTGTGAATTTTGCGTGCTCCAGCCAGGCCAACCAGGGCTCTCGACCGTTTTCGGAGGTTCAGGCTGAGATGGACAAATACGTGACGGAGCTTGGATCACTCATCAGCGGTTTCTTTCTCGACGACGCTGGCCACTCTGGACTCACAACCTCAGGCGTCTTGGCGGTGACGAACTACGCCGTAGGGCTCGGAATGGAAACAGTGCACAATCCTGGAGCCATGTCCCAGGACGTGACGCTCTTCGATGCGTCCAATGTGACAGTCATGCGGGAAGCAACCACTCCCGGAACGGGCAGCCCCCACTACTCGGGCTTCAGCGTGGAAAAGTCGGCCATGCTCCTTCACTCCGTCGACGCGGCCAGCTGGAGCGGCTACCTGGCGACGGCACAGGAGAATGGCTACAAGTATTTCTATGCCACCAGTGGTGGTTGGGACTCGTCCCCGTCCTACTTGGCCGACATGCTGACCTCTATCAAGCTAGCGGGGCCGTCCACAACAACAAGCACGCCGTCGGCACCGTACGCCAAAGGAGATCCGCACCTGCGGAACGTCTATGGACAGGCCTTCGATTTGATGCGACCCGGCAGGCACACCTTCCTCCTTCTGCCAAGGGGCGCGGATGTATGACGGGGAACAAACAAAAACATAGACACAGCAACTGATCCTTTTGAAGGTCTTCACTCTGAGTTTGTGCAAACCAAATTTTTCCCCAAACAGCTTGCTGAATGGGGTGCTGTTGTGGTAGAAACTAACTCCGTCCGAGGGAATGCGGAGCAGAGACATCCTCACAACAATTTGATGGTTTTGGCCGTTTCGCTTGAGACATCCTCACAACTCTCGTTTCTGAGTTGGCCGGGATTGGCCGTTTCGCCTGAGACATCCTCGAAAAGTTGCGCTCCGGGACGCCGCGCGAGAGGTGGTCCGGGCTGTTTCGCTTGAGACATCCTCGAAACTCTGAGCCCCGAGGTGCCGTGCGAGAGGTGGTCCGGGCCGTTTCGCTTGAGACATCCTCAAAACTCTGAGCTCTGCGATGCCTTGCGCGAGGTGGTCCGGCCCGTTTCGCCTGAGACATCCACGAAACTCTGACTTCGGAGATGCCGCGCGAGAGGTGGTCCGGCCCGTTTCGCCTGAGACATCCTCGAACTTCTGAGCTCTGAGATGCCCTGCGCGAGGTGGTCCGGCCCGTCTCGCCTGAGACATCCTCGCAACTCTGAGCTCTGAGATGCCGTGCGCAAGGTGGTCCGGCTTGTTTCGCACAAGACATTCTCGCAACTCTGAGCTTTCAGATGCTGCGCGAGAGGTCCAGCCTGGGCGCCCAGAAGACCACATGTTACATATCCTCCATGGGACCCTGCGAGCCTCAGGAGGCCCCAGAGAGGTCCAGGAGGCCGCAGGACGCCCAGGACAGGCCCCAGGGGCCCCCAGGAGATTCCCAGGAGGCTCCCAGGAGGCCCCAGGAGGCCCTCTATCAGAACGTGTCAAGTTAATACACATCCGGTGTCGATTCGTTGATTTTTCCTGCTCTTGTGCCCCCCCTCCATTTTGGAGAGGCCCAAACGGCCACAGGTTAGATATCCCCCCTGGGAGCCCCAAGAGGCTTCAGGAAACCTCAGGTGGAGTTCAGGAGGCCACAGGAGGCCCAGGAGGAAGCTCCAGGAGGTCCCCAGGAGGCCCCAGGAGGCCCAGGAGGCCGCAGGACGCCCAGGACAGGCCCCAGGGGTCTCCAGGAGATTCCCAGGAGGCTCCCAGGAGGCCCCAGGAGGCCGCCTATCAGAACGTGTCAAGTTAATACACATCCGGTGTCGATTCGTTGATTCTTCCTGCTCTTGTGCCCCCCCCCTCCATTTGGAGAGGCCCAAACGGCCACAGGTTAGATATCCCCCCTGGGAGCCCCAAGAGGCTTCAGGAAGCCCCAGGTGGGGTCCAGGAGGCCACAGGAGGCCCAGGAGGAAGCAGGAGGTCCCCAGGAGGCCCAGGAGGCCCCAGGAGGCCCCCGCAACTCGGAGCTCTGAGACGCCGCGCTCGAGGTGGTCCGGCCCGTTTCGCCTGAGACTTCCTCGCAGCACGTTTCGCCAGAGACATCGTCGCAACTCTGGGGTCCGAGATGCCGCGCGCGAGGTGGTCCAGCCCGTTACGCTGGAGACATCCTCGCAACTCTAGGCTCCGAGATGCCGTTCGGGATGAAGAGGAGGTGGAGGAGGAGGAGGAGGAGGAGGAGGAGGAGGAGGAGGAGGAGGAGATGGAAGGGAGAAGGAGGAGGCGGATGATGTGCATGAGGGAGCAGGCAGGAGGAGGGGGAGGCCCCAGAGAGCTCCAGGAGGCCGCAGGACGCCCAGGACAGGCCCCAGGGGTCCCCAAGAGATTCCTAGGAGGCTCCCAGGAGGCCCCAGGAGGCCGCCTATCAGAACGTGTCAAGTTCATACACATCCGGTGTCGATTCGTTGATTCTTCCTGCTCTTGTGCCCCCCCTCCATTTGGAGAGGCCCAAACGGCCACAGGTTTGATATCCACCCTGGGAGCCCCAAGAGGCTTCAGGAAACCCCAGGTGGAGTTCAGGAGGCCACAGGAGGCCCAGGAGGAAGCCCCAGGAGGTCCCCAGGAGGCCCCAGGAGGCACCAGGAGGCCCCCGCAACTCGGAGCCCTGAGACGCCGCGCTCGAGGTGGTCCGGCCCGTTTCGCCTGAGACTTCCTCGCAGCACGTTTGCCCGAGACATCGTCGCAACTCTGGGGTCCGAGATGCCGCGCGCGAGGTGGTCCAGCCCGTTACGCTGGAGACATCCTCGCAACTCTAGGCTCCGAGATGCCGTTCGGGATGAAGAGGAGGTCGAGGAGGAGGAGGAGGAGGAGGAGGAGGAGGAGGAGGGAGATGGAAGGGAGAAGGAGGAGGCGGATGATGTGCATGAGGGAGCAAGCAGGAGGAGGGGGAGGCCCCAGAGAGCTCCAGGAGGCCGCAGGACGCCCAGGACAGGCCCCAGGGGTCCCCAGGAGATTCCTAGGAGGCTCCCAGAGGCCCCAGGAGGCCGCCTATCAGAACGTGTCAAGTTAATACACATCCGGTGTCGATTCGTTGATTCTTCCTGCTCTTGTGCCCCCCCCTCCATTTGGAGAGGCCCAAAGGGCCACAGGTTAAATATCCACCCTGGGAGACCCCAGAGGCTTCAGGAAACCCCAGGTGGAGTTCAGGAGGCAACAGGAGGCCCAGGAGGAAGCCCCAGGAGGTCCCCAGGAGGCCCCAGGAGGCACCAGGAGGCCCCCGCAACTCGGAGCCCTGAGACGCCGCGCTCGAGGTGGTCCGGCCCGTTTCGCCTGAGACTCCCTCGCAGCACGTTTGCCCGAGAAATCGTCGCAACTCTGGGGTCCGAGATGCCGCGCGCGAGGTGGTCCAGCCCGTTACGCTAGAGACATCCTCGCAACTCTAGGCTCCGAGATGCCGTTCGGGATGAAGAGGAGGTCGAGGAGGAGGAGGAGGAGGAGGAGGAGGAGAAGGAGAAGGAGATGGAAGGGTGAAGGAGGAGGCGGATGATGTGCATGAGGGAGCAGGCAGGAGGAGGGGGAGGAGGAGGAGGAGGAGGAGGAGGAGGAGGAGGAGGAGGAGGAGGAGGAGGAGGAGGAGGGAGAAGGAAGGGAGTTGCAGGAGAGGACCTAACGGGAAGCGAGTGCGATGTGGATTTGTCAAAACGTGTGCGAAAGATTGTCCGACCCGTTTCGTTTGAGACATCTTACCAATACTGAGCTCCAAGATGTCGCTCGCGAGGTGGTCCAGCCCGCTTCGATTGAGCCATCCTCGCAATGCGAGGCTCGAAGATGTTGCGCGCGAGATGGTCTGGCCCATTCTGCCTGAGACGTTTCGTAGCACAGGAGCTCCAATCACAACCTCTCTCATTCCTTCTCCCGCCTCCCTCTTCCCACTTCCCGCCTGGTTCCTCTTCCCTCCTCCCTCCTCCCGCCTCCCGCCTCCCGCTGCTGCGCCTCTGCCTCCGCCTCCCCGTCCCCGCCGTCGTCGTTTCTGCCGCCTCAGCATCCGTCATGCGCGCACTGCCTTCCGCCCTCCCCAGACATCCGACGTCACGATTTCTCTTTTGAGACGTGCGCCGCGTACCTCTCGATATCATCCCCGAAGGAACCATCACGACATGCCCCCCCGCTTCCGCGCCCTCCCCCGCTTCCTCTTAAAGTTGCTTTTGAGTTCACAGCATGGCGGTGGAGCCTCTCACAGTGCCGACCCGACAGCTTACTCGTCGACCAGGTGCGACCTGGGACATCCTCGCAACTCTGGGCTCCGAGACAGGGTTCCCCAAACAGGATTTTTCCCCAAACAGCTTGCTGAACGGGGTGCTGTTGTGATAGAAGCTAATTCCGGCCGAGGGAAGTCGGAGCAGAGACATCCTCACAAAAATTTGATGGTCCGGGCCGTTTCGCTTAAGACATCCTCACAACTCTCGTTTCTGAGTTGGCCGGGACTGGCCGTTTCGCCTGAGACATACTCGAAAAGTTGCGCTCCAGGACGCCGCGCGAGAGGTGGTCCGGGCCGTTTCGCTTGAGACATCCTCGGAACTCTGAGCCCCGAGGTGCCGTGCGAGAGGTGGTCCGGGCCGTTCCGCATGAGACATCCTCGCATCCTGAGCTCTCAGATGCCGTGCGCGAGGTTGTCCGGCCCGTTTCGCCTGAGACATCCTCGAAACTCTGACTTCGGAGATGCCGCGCGAGAGGTGGTCCGGCCCGTTTCGCCTGAGACATCCTCGAACTTCTGAGCTCAGAGATGCACTGCGCGAGGTGGTCCGGCCCGTCTCGCCTGAGACATCCTCGCAACTCTGAGCTCTGAGATGCCGTGCGCAAGGTGGTCCGGCTTGTTTCGCACTAGACCTTTTTGCAACGCCGCGCAAGAGGTGGTCCAGCCTGGGGGCCCAGAAGACCACATGTTACATATCCCCCCTTGTACCCTGGGAGCCCCAGGAGGCCCCAGAGAGCTCCAGGAGGCCGCAGGACGCCCAGGACAGGCCCCAGGGGTCCCCAGGAGATTCCCAGGATGCTCCCAGGAGGCCCCAGGAGGCCCCCTATCAGAACGTGTCAAGTTGATACACATCCGGTGTCGATTCGTTGATTTTTCATGCTCTTGTGCCCCCCCTCCATTTTGAGAGGCCCAAGCGGCCACAGGTTAGATATCCCCCCCTGGGAGCCCCAAGAGGCTTCAGGAAGCCCCAGGTGGGGTCCAGGAGGCCACAGGAGGCCCAGGAGGAAGCCCCAGGAGGTCACCAGGAGGTCCCAGGAGGCCCCCGCAACTCGGAGCTCTGAGACGCCGCGCTCGAGGTGGTCCGGCCCGTTTCGCCTGAGACTTCCTCGCAGCACGTTTCGCCCGAGACATCGTCGCAACTCTGGGGTCCGAAATGCCGCGCGCGAGGTGGTCCAGCCCGTTACGCTGAGACATCCTCGCAACTCTGGGCTCCGAGATGCCCTGCGCGAGGTGGTCCGGCCCATCTCGCCTGAGACATCCTCGCAACTCTGAGCTCTGAGATGCCGTGCGCAAGGTGGTCCGGCCCGTTTCGCACAAGACATTCTCGCAATTCTGAGCTCTCAGATGCTGCGCAAGAGGTGGTCCAGCCTGGGGGCCCAGAAGACCACATGTTACATATCCCCCCTGGGGCCTGAGACTTCCTCGCAGCACGTTTCGCCCGAGACATCGTCGCAACTCTGGGGTCCGAAATGCCGCGCGCGAGGTGGTCCAGCCCGTCA